CTAGATTAATTAGGACACTTAATATTTTATTGCTTTATTAATTCCCTAGGTAGATTAGGACTAGATATAATTTGTGCCTATATAAAGGCCCCTTTCCTCATGTTATTTTCAATCATCCAAGAATTAATAAGAACTCAAGAACTTTTGTTCATCCTCTTTGCTTTATTTTTCACCAAAATTCTATAGCAATTATATCGTTTAGAGGGGTGCTGTTTGTGAACCTCTAGGAAACTATCGGCGATTCAAGTCACTGGTTTGTGGCTTATCGGCAGTCGAAACACACGATCCTCATCACAACGCCCCAGCGCGCAGCACAACAGCTCCCCAGCGCACCCGGCAAGCCCGACAGCATCCCAGCGCACCCGGCAAGCCCGACAGCGCCCCGCAGCACCCCGACTGCGCCCAGCCGTGCCCAGACCAGGCCAGCAAGTAGACCGGGCCCGTCCCAAGCCTTCCTTGTGTTTTTTCCGAAACTGTTAATGTGTTTTTGACCCGTTTGACCTTGTTTTACGTGCTAAGTATATATGTGGTATTTATATGCGTTTTTGTCAAGTCTAAGTGTTAGGTCAGAATGTTTCAATGTCCACAAAACTTCACGAACTACTTGGTTGAATCAAGTTCAACCAAGTATGATTGTGTATGCCCTCTAAAGTCAAGATAGGTGTTGATCTTAGTATATTAATTGTTGTAGGTGCTTGACGAGCCGTGCTCGCCGCCTACTCATGTTTGTGTGCCATTCCTTCCTGTACCAGGTGGGTTTTAATCTAAAATTTGTTATGCCGTATGTGTTTACTCTAATGTTGAGTTGGTATGATTTAAGTATGCATGTAAACCATGTAGCCTATCGGCGTGAGCCGATTCGGCCGTCGGTACGGTTGTCCCCGTCGATGTAATACGGTTACCCTTGCGAGTTAAGTCTCCGTAAGACCTAATGAAAAGCCGTGTCTTGTTGTATGACACGTACCCCCATGAGTTAGGGTAATGAATCCCCTTTTCTTGGCTAATGAAAAATGTGTACACGTGGGTAATATGTTGTGATGTGATTAGGAGACGTGATAGAATAATTGATTTATGTTCCTGCTGCAACCGTACCTTC